GAAATATATTCTTAAGGGAGAGAGAAGATTTAAGAGGGAGGAAAAAGCTGTAAGCATCACAATATCTGACTGTGAAGCCATAGTAACTAAGAAAACATGGTATTGGCATAAAAACTGAGATAGTCAAATGGAACAGAAAAGAATATCCAGAATTTAATTTACATGTTTACAACCAAGCTACTTTCAACAAAAGTGCTAAGAAAAATATTGGAGAAAGAACAAGTTCTTCAACAAATGGTGCTAGTAAAACTGTGTGTGTGTGTGTGTGTGTGTGTGTGTGTGTGTGTGCGCGCGCGCACACACGCGTGCCTGCACATGCAGAAGACTAAATCTAGTATACTACCTTGCCCATATTTATTTTGCTTGGTTTACTGGAAAGGCTGCTAGTGTTATATAATATATAATGTTGAAAGTAGAAATGCTCAGCTTTTCCAACCTCAGAGGGAAACAATCTGGTATGTTATGTGTGTATGACAAAAACTTGCTATATCACCCAGGCTAGGCTTGACTTCACCATTCTCCTGCTTCAGCCTCCTGAGTAGCTGGGACTACAGATACACATCATAATATCTAACATTAATATTCTGATTTCTGGTCTTGCACATATGTCCTTTGTAAGTTTGGGAAACTTATCTGTTGTGTGTAATATGCTGATAGTTTTTTTAAATCACAAATGGATATTAAGTTTCACAGGTTATTTCACCGCCATCTATTGAGATAATCACATGACTTTCTTCATTTTGTTAACATGGAAAAAATTATACTGAATAATTTTTAATGTTAAACCAGACTTGCATTCTTTTCTTTCCTTTTTTTTTTTTTTTAGTTGTAGTTGGACACAACATCTTTATTTTATTTTTATGTGGTGCTGAGGATCAAACCCAGGGCCTAGTATGTACTGGGCGAGAGTTCTACGCTGAGCCACAATCTCAGCCCCCAGTCTTGCATTCTTAACATTAAATCATACTTGATTGTTATGTTCCTCTTTATACAATTATATTTTATTTAGCAATATTCATTTAGAATTTAAGAAGGATACTGATATCATATTTTCTTCTTTTTTAAAGTCCTTTCTTTTCAATATATATACCTTTATTTTATTTATTTATTTTTATGTGGTGCTGAGGATCGAACCCAGGGCCTTGCACGTGGTCTAGGCGAGCACTCTACTGCTGAATCACAACCCCAGACCCCTGACTTTTCTTAATGCAAAACGTTTTGGCATTACATTTAATTTCTTGAAAAGATACAGGCTATTCAATTTCACTGTTTCATCTTACAACAATTTTGGTATAGTTCTTTCTCAGGGAAAACTTCACAGAAACTAAGTGGTTTTATTTTTTGATATATAGTTATTTATTTTTCTTATGATAATTTTAATATCTGTAACATCTATGGGGTTAACTCCCTTTCATTACAAATATTGGTGATTTGTAATCTCTCAGTCTCTTTCAGTCTATGTAGGGAATTGTCAATTTTGTTATCTTTTTAAAAGTAACAGTTTACAGATTTAATTTTCTCTCCCTGTTTTTTTTTTTTTAGTGGCTCTATTCAACTCTGTTAATTTCTTCATTATCTTCTTTCATTTACTTGCTATGAGTTTATCTCATTCTTGTTTTGAACCTTCTGAAGTTGAATTTTAAGTAGCTGAGGAAAGATCATTCTTCCTAATAATTGTTTAAAGTTATGTTTCTTTCTAAACAATGTTTGAACAGCATTTCCTGTTTAACTATCATTTAATCCAAACATTTTCTAATTTCCAAGTGATTTTATCTTAGCCCCTTGAATTATTTGGAAGTATATTGTTCAATATCCTGATATTTAAAGTTTTTCTAACTGGTTTATGACTGTAGTAAGAAAACACACTTCTATATGATTGTGATTCTTTTAAATATAAGATCATTCAGACCTAAAAAAATGTGTCTTCCACTATTGTTGGATACACTCTTCTATGAATGCCAATTAGATGAAGCCTGCTCACTGTATTTTCAAAATTTTTGTACTCTCAGTTATCTATTTATTTAGTTATTTTAAAAATTTTCTTTCTTGGTGTTTTATCCATTGCTGAGAGAGGTATTAATACATTTCTTACTGTGACTATAGAATTATCTATTTTTTCCTTTGATTCTGTAGATTTTTTTGTTCTATATCACTTTTTATATCTGGTAATACACTTTTTTGTTATTTTTATCTTTATTAAAAAAGTAATTTTAATAAATAAATACTTTAAAAATAAGTAAATCTAGCCTTCTTAGGTTATTTGTATAGTGTATCTTTTCATATGCACATATGTGTATTTTTACTTGTTATTTATATTTCAAAGATTCCACTTTTTGGCAGTATATATTACCATCTTTCCTTCCTCCCTTACCCATTATAAATTTGGATCAGGAACTTTCTCTATTAAGGGCCACATAGGAAACATTTCAGGATTTGTGAGCCTGAATGGTTTTAGTTTATTTTGGGTCTGCCCTTGAAGGAAACTGTGGACCCACGTCTCCTCCTCTTTTTCTTTTCAATCTTGTCCATGGGGTGAGCAGACCATCAAACCAGTAGGCAATTAGAAACCTTTTCTCTGTATAAGTTGATGAAGGGAAATTGGCTAACAGAATCTAAAGAAGTTGAATCTGTTCTTTTACATTCAACTTAGTGTTTGTAAAAAGAAAAAGAAAGAAAAACACACACACAAAGGTATATATCATATCTATATCTCATAAACCAGGTGAATTAAATCAACAGAAAATTAATGTCTCATAGTGTTGGAGAATAGAACACTAAGTCAAGATATCAGCAGGTTCATGTACCCTCTGAGACTGTGAGTAGTATCGTTCATGCAGTTGTTAGCTTCTAGTGTGTGGCAATCTTTCTTGTTCCTTAGTACGCAGCTACATCATCAATTTCTGCTTCCATGTCCACATGGCACTCACTCTATGCATTTCCATATCATCTTCAGTCTATATGTTTCAGTATTTAAATTTCCCATTTTTATCGGATTAGGAATCACACTAATTATCTCATTTTAATTTCCTCTGAAACAATTGTTATCTAAATAGACCACATTCCAAAATACAAAGATCTAAGATTTCAGTGTATCTTTTTGCAGGGACACAATTCAACTCAGAAGTTTCCTTTTCTCTTAGAAAAGTTGTAAGACAACCATTAGCAGTAACATTCAAATAGTATTCTAAGAGACAGAACATTTAATAATTATTTTCTTCTATATCACTGTGAGTTATAGTAGAATGGTTAGTGGGCATTACACTGTATTATTTGTTATTCAAAAATATTAGCCAGGTGTGGAGGCACACTCTTATAGTCCCAATGACTCAGGAGGCCAGGGCAGGAGGATTTAAATTTGAGGCCAATCACGGCAATTTAGTGAGTCCCTGTCTCAAAGCAGATAAAAAGGTGGTTCAGGATGTAACTTAGTGGTAGAAGTCTCCTGGGTTCAATCTCTAATCTTGGAGAAAGTATTTACAATTGATTGTAAAAGAAATGAGTTATAATGGAGGATGAACTCTTACTTTTTATGATAGTGTTCTTTTAACATAGCTGCTTTGTCAAAAGTCTAATTACACACATTTTACAGTAAGATCTTCACCAACATAATAGCTTGTCAAATTTTTTTCCGAAGGCACACATAAACCAAACTGTATAATAAAAAGAATGAAGCAGTAAGAATTTTTAAAAAAGGAGGAGGATGGCATTAGTAAGAGAACTCTATAAAATATGGACTGACGTTAGAATTTCCTTTTTAAAAACATACTTTAAAATGGCATATAAGGCTGACAAAAACAGATTCATGAATATTAGTTTATCAGATCCAATAATGTTCTAAAAAGTGTTTTGAAAATATGAATTTAAATAGTATTTGACATCGACAGTCTGTGGAAAATATAACAGCTTATTTGAGGTTAGAAGTAAATATTAAATATATGTAACTAATCATTTGTACAAACATTGGCAGTATGAATTCATATAAAGATGTAAAACTGCATAATAAAACATGATTGTCCTGTGACAACTGAAATTTTATGGGATTAGGAATGTCTTTAAAAAGAGTAAACAGTGCTATTCTTTTCTTTTTAATAAATACTGCAAGATGAGTAGAGGTTTTGAATGAGAATGTGATTGAAATTTACATTTTATCACTTAATCACTTCAAGTCTAATAGTAAAATAGTTCTTCTATGTTTACAAATATAATGTCTGCTGGAAATGGAGAAAAAAATGCTAAGTGAAGTAAGCCAGACTCATAAAATCAAAAGTCTAATGACTTCTCTCATATATGGAAGCTAGACCAAAATAAGGGAAGGAAGGTGGTAGAGGAGGGGATATCATAAAGATATAGAATAGATCAGTGGAGTAGAAGAAGAAAAGAGTGAGGGAAGAAAGAAGGGAAAGGGGAGAAATATGGAATGAATTTAACAAAATCACGGTATATACATATTTAAATGTACCCAAAAGAATTTCACCTTTATATATGTGTAGAAAATACCAATCAAAAAATAAACAAACGAGTGAAAGGAAGATCAACAAAAAGAAGGGAAAATAGAGGGCAGGAGGAAGGGAGAGAAAGCAGGAGGTATGGGGATTGAAATCAAATTCCTTGCATGTATTATTTTGTCAAAATGAACCCAAATACTAAGTATAATTATACTGCTCTAATAAAAAAACTGAAAAGGAACAACTAAGAATGCTGGCAACATTAAAATAATTAAAATTGGTTATTGTATCAAAACAATTACATCTGGAATTGATTTCATTTGAACAGCTAAAAGGTGCATTTATGCTGCCATTATTACATTTTCAGAAGAGTTTAAATTACAAAATTTGAGAGAGCTTCAAAGCAATTTCTTAATCTAACCATGGTGATCTTGATGGACCAATTTTAAAAAAAGGGGGGTATAAGTAAAGAAAAACCCTTCAAAAAAAAAAATAGGTGACAATTGTTTTTAAAACATTACTTTAACACTCTTTTTATAATTGAAAAATACCAACCTGAGGATTAGAGCATTTTATCTCCAGGGACTCCAGGTCAACATGAAGACAGACAACAAATGAATGTCTGGCATCAGGTCCTGTAGCAAGTAGTTTTTGAGATGTGACAGCTAGAGTAGAGGTACAACCCATAGGTTCCACTAAGCTAAGTGTCACTTGTTTTCCAATAAGGGTATATATGCTGAAATGATGCAAGTTGATGGTCCATGGAAAAGCATCACCTGTTAAAGGAAATAGGAAGGCACACACATACAAAAATACAGTTAACTGTCACTTGATAATAAAAGTTCTACTATCTATATTTGAAATATAAAAAATTTAACACTGTATCATAAAAAGCAAATAGATCCAGATCAAAAGTGCTAAATAAGTTAAAAGCTTTAAGTTATCTTTTAAAAAATGTTTAGGAATATACTTCTATAGCAACAATTATGTATATCATTTACAATAAATGAACAGTGGAGAGTGTATTGTGTAACAGTTGGAGATGTATGCATCTGTCCTGTGCTCTAGTAGGCTGTTCTGTGTAACAGAGGTGTATGCACCACACTTTTAAAAAAATCATAGAAAATGGCATAAATTATGTGAATACAGTAATTTTTGGAATGACTAAAAATGACCATAGACTTTTCTAGGGAATGAAAGAAGAAACGATAAACAATCTACTATAGTCTTTTGGACAACCAGTATCAGAATTGTGTGGGATATTTACTTAAAACAGAGGTGTCTGGGTTCTATAATAGACCTACTTAATTATCTCTCCTACTAATACTCAGTAAACATTTCATTATTCCCTGGATGATTCAAAAGTATTAAAAGTTCCTTTTAAATAAAATGCTCTTAATAATAAAACTAACACTCAAATGTCAGTATTAAAAGCAAAATTCCTTTCCTTCTTTTATATTCTTTTACTAATTTATATAAAATTATTTCATTAATATAAATTATTCATATAAAACATCTTAGTTTTTATTATATCTACAATAAGTTACTCTGTAAAATAATTTTTAAAAGTCCAGTATAAGAAATATTTATAAACATTTATTTTTGTGATGTCAGATATTCCTGTCACTTGTATTTTGGACTACAATTCTGACAGCACTTAACATTATATAGGGTAATAGCATTTTTTAAGTAATTCAATTATTTAACTAATTTAATTATTTGAAAATAAATTGAAAACATTTATATCTAATTACAGAGGTACTCAGTAACTCACTATAATTTAGAATATATGTTATTTTAAAGAGTAATATATTTTATCCTGCCATTCCAAAAAGTATTATTAATATTTTGTCACAGTTCTTTCACATATTTCCCTCCTATGGTTGATAGTTGTGCTAACACAGAATAAGATCAGGGAATCACACTGTTCTTATAATTTTACATTCTTTATTCATTGAAGAAAAAATACCAAGTGAATTACTACAAGGATCATACTATAAATATATACTCAAGCAATCTAAATGTTCATTAGATACACTGGGATAACAGGTTCCACAGGTAGATTCTCAACAGGATGAACATTCAATATGTCCTGCTCAAATGTACTTAATAAAAGTGTAAAATAAGAATCTTTGAAATTGAAACTTTGATAACAAGAATAAATCTAGCTAAATAGTAGTTCATAATAAATTAACTAAAAACAATGTTAACTGAATAATTATATGCAGTCAACATGGTGATACTTTGCCTGTCTTAAAGATTTAAAATATTTTTCTTTGAAGAAAGAATGACAAACTTTAAATCATCTGTAATCTAAAATAGTTTTTAGACTTACATTAAATTCCATGCTATTCACAAAATAAAATCTCTGCCAAATTGGTGTCACGTTGAGAGCCACAGCCGAAGGGGCCCCAGCAAACTTTCAGACTGCCAGCTGATGATTGGCTCACAGGGGCCCCAGCAACTTCTAGCTGATTGGCTCCTCTGCGGTGATGCTCATTGAGCTGTTTCCCTGCCCTTTCAGACCAGAAGCTGCTCATTGGGGGACTTTTTTGGATCCGCCCACACGACCCAGCCAATCGGCCTCAAGAGCAGGAGGAGTGGGGGAGGTTGAGAGGCTTGTGGGAAGCCGGTGGTGGCAGTTGGGCTCTGAAGGTTTTTCCTGAGGAGCTGTTTTGTTTAGCGTGTGTGGTTCTAAAAATAAAGTTCGTTTCTTTTGACAAGTGGCTCCTGAATTGTGCCCAGCCAGACAGCGGCAGTGTCATATATTTGGAATGATTTTAGATACATGATTTTAAAACTGAGAGTGAGAAAAATACATATTTTTTTTCAAACCCTACTTTATCCAAGAAATTAAGTAGTGATTATGTTGTATGCAAGAACACTACATTTAAACTTGTTAAATTAAAAAAAAAATCCCAAATGACATGACGGTACACTATTCTCAGATATATGTTCCTGTTTCTTCTTCAGAAACAGACCAATAAATTAAAATTGGCTTTATCATAGTCTCTTAAAATGAAATTTAAAAAGTATTATTTCATGTTCATTTACTTAGCATACACATTATTTTAAAAAGCACAGTATGCCAAAAATTTGTCAATTAATTGCTCTGTTAAAAATTTTCAAATCAGCCAGGAGCAGAGGCACATATCTGTTATCCCAGTGGCTCAAGAGGCTGATAACCAGGAGGACTCTGATTCAAAGCCAGCCTCAGCAATTTCTTGAGGCCCTATCTCTAAATAAGATACAAAAAAAGGCCTGGGAATGTGGTTCAGTGGTTAAGTGACCCTGTGTGGAATCTTTGGTACCAAAAAAAAAAAAAATTACAAATCACATTAAGTGCACAAGTACTACTTACACACACAAAACCAGAAACATCTAAACTTTCTATAATATAACATTGGCAGAATAACATTCTACATATTTCCTCAAATACATCCACACAACCATGACAGGCCAAAAGTATATACTATTTTGACAGTCCCATGTAGATTTTTATGACCTTCACAATGAGAATTTTTTTAAATTTGTTATATGACAGCAGAATACATTATAATTCATATTACACATACACAGCACGATTTTTCTATCTCTGGTTGTACATAAAGTAGAGTCACAACATTCATGTCTTCATACATGTACTTAGGGTAGTGATATCCATCTCATTCCACTGTATTTCCTACCCCCATTACCCCTTCCCTTGCCCACCCTCCCCTTTCTCCTATCTAGGGTTCATCTAATCCTCCCATGCCCCCACCCCAACCATATTATGAATCAGCATCCTTAAATCAGAGAAATCACTCAGCATTTGGTTTTAGGGGATTGGCTAATTTCACTTAGAATTATATTCTCCAGCTCCATCCATTTACCTACAAATGCCGTGATTTTATTTTCTTTTAATGCTGAATAATATTCCATTGTGTATATATACTACATTTTATTTATCCACTCATCTACTAAAGGGCATCTGGGTTGGTTCCACAATTTAGCTTTTGTGAATTGTGCTGCTATAAATATTGATGTGGCTTATCCTTGTAGTATGCTGTTTTTAAGTCCTTTGGGTATAGACCAAGGAGTGGGTAGCTGGCTCAAATGGTGGTGGTTCCATTCCCAGTTTTCCAAGGATTCTCCATACTGCTTTCCAGATTGGCTGTACCACTTTGCAGACCCAACAGCAATGTATGAGTGTGCCTTTCCCCCTACATCCTTGCCAACGTTTACTTTTGTTTGTATTCCTGATAGCTGCCATTCTGACTGGTGCGAGTAGTTTTGATTTGCATTTCTCTAATTGCTAGAGATGTTGGACATTTTATTTCATATATTTGTTGACCAACTGTAATTCTCCTGAGAAGTGTCTGTTCAACTCCTTAGCCCATTTATTGACTGGGTTGTTTTTTTGTTTTTGTTTTTTTGTTTGTTTTTGTTTTTTTGGTGTTACATTTTTTTGATTTTTTGAGTTCTTTAAATATCCTATATTTATAATATAGGATATATTATACAGTAAATTTAAAATTTCATAATAGCTCTATTTGATGTGCATGAGGCAAAAATTTGCTCTCAAAATGTAGGCTCTCTCTTCAAAAGAAACTCATTGTTTCTTTTGCTAAGAAGAAGCTTTTTAGTTTTAATCCATTCCACTTATTGATTCTTGATTTTATTTCTTGTACATTAGGAGTCTTGTTAAGGTAGTCAGGGCCTAATTCAATGTGATAAAGATTTGAGCCTATTTTTTCCTCCATTAGGAATGGGGTCTCTACACTAATTCCTAGGTCCTTGATCCACTATGAGTTGAGTTTTCTGCATGGTTAGACATAGGGGTTTAGTTTCAATTTGCTGCATATGGCTTTCCAATTTTCCCAGCACCATTTGTTGCAGAGTGCCGCAGTCTGGCTGGGCACAATTCAGGAGCTACTTGTCAAAAGAAACAAACTTTATTTTTAGAACACACAGCCAAACCACACAGCTCTTCAGGAAAACCTTCAGAGCCCAACTGCCACCACCAGCTTCCCACAAGCCTCTCAACCTCCCCCACTCCTCCTGCTCTTGAGGTTGATTGGCTGGGTCGCGTGGGCAGAGCCAAAAAAAAGTCCTCCAATGAGCAGCTCTGTGGTCTGAAAGGGCGGGGAAACAACCCAATGAGCATCACCGCAGAGGAGCCAATCAGTTAGCAGCTAGAAGTTTGCTGGGGCCGCTGTGAGCCAATCATCAGCTGGCAGCTGGAAGTTTGCTGGGGCCCCTTCGGTTGTGGCTCTCAACATCTCCCCCTCTCTGTTTAAACAACAAGCATGTGGCTTAGGGACCGTGCCTGCCTTAGGATACCTAGTAAGAATAGTATTAGGAGAATAAGATAAATGTATCCATAATAATGGACCTTCTTGCCAAAATACTCCTGTAGGAATATTTTTTGTTGGTAGTACAATAAATAATAAAGGCAAACTTATATCAATTCTATCCAAATGCATATTTTCCATATATGTTTCAATGAATTTTAATGCCTTTCTTGCTTCAGGCGTTAACATTCAGGGTGAATTTGGATCTGATGGACCTTTTAGGATATCAAAATAAAGGTCCCAACTCTCCTGTTGGTATGCCTAGATAAGGCCTTATCCAATTTATGTCTCCTAATAACTTTTGAAAGTCGTTAAGTGATTTGAGTTGATCTATTCGTATTTGAATTTTTGGTGGACGGACCATGGTTGAGGATAACAGAACTCCTAAATAATTAATTGGAAAATTTAATTGTACTTTATCTATTGCTATCTCTAGATTATAA